CGTACCGCTAGACAACTCTCACCTTCAGCCACTGATGGCTGGGACCAAGCAGTTTAAATAGGAACTGGAACAGGTGGATCTGATGAGTGATAAAAAGTGAGCGGAGCTAAGCAGGTGATTGAACTAAACCAACAATCCAGTCATTAGTGCCAAGATTATGACACTTTCTTAAACAGCTACATTTTGTTTAATAGCTTACTCATGACAAGGGGTTGAATTGAAATACTTACTGTATTAGTTGTTTGCCTTGAGAGCAAGATTTATAAATAGGGCTAATTGCAGAACCTATGAATAAGATAAATAATCCCTGGATTCATAATGTTATACTGTAGACATCTTTTCATTCTCATGGGCTAATTTTCTAAATCTTGATGTGTACACATTGCAGATAACACTGAAAAAGGCCACTTTAAAGCGTAGACATTTCTGTTTATCTGGAAAAAAAGTGAGGTATAAATCAACAGGAAAATCGTGAAAGATAAAAGAATGGCACATATTCAAAGAATCTATCCTATTTAAATGAACTACCTGAAATTTCATTATGCTCTGCAGTCAAAAAACTTTTAGTTCTGAGTGAACTGTACCATCAAGGACAGAAGCCTCCATATGTGGGGTTACCCATGTGCCACCAGAATACCCATATGTTATTATCCTTCAGTGCCAAATAAATTTGTCCAAGCCAGAGTTAATTTAAATCTTTCAAAAATGGGATCAACACAGGGATCTCCAGGCTCTAAAACTAATACCTAAAACAAATGCAGATCAAATTCTATTACTTCATTCAGCCTTGGTTGTCTCTGTCATTTTTTGCATCTTAAGCTACACCACACAGATGCCGCCTAGATGTGATTTAGTGTGAGTTTGCAGTTCGAAGTGGGATGTGGGAGAAGGTAGCTCTTTGAAAACCTATAATTGGCTTAAATTATACACACCACCCTGAGACGTCCGAGAAACTCAAAGTAGTTTAGCTTTTTGCTGCAATTTCTGTTTCTTTGCCTTAAAGTCAAAGTGTGGCTCTGCAACAAGAAGCCTCAGAGCGGATACTTCTGAGAGCTAAGCAAAAAAAAACTATGAAAGCTTTGGAACCAGTTTCTTCACAGTTTAAGTGGCTGAAGGGCAGGAAAAGGGGTTGTGTTGCATGTGCATCTTTAAGTGTAGTGGACTGCAACTGTATGCAGTGTAATTTTCCCCATCCACTTCCCATCACTTTATCTTCTCAAAAACTTTCTAAAGAAAAAAGTGAAAACTTGTCCAGGTGAGTGACTATTATTGACTTTTTAGCTTTGTGTTGCATACATGATTGGGTTTGGGTTTGTCACTAAACGTGTTTGTTAGCACAAATATATTAGTGTGATAATGTAGGTGTGTTTGCCTTTTAATGTCACCATCTTTTCTGCTTTGCACCTGTGGATGAAATTTTCATCATGAAGAAGGCTACATCAAATCAACATCAAATCTTAGACGTGACATCTTTACACATAAGTATTTGTTTTCCTGTCCCAAAAAATGCTGTAATTATGGTGTTACTTATGTAAAGAAATTACATTGTAAGAAAAGTAAAGCAGCAAAGACCCTGCCAACCATAGAGGTCCAGATTTTTAAAAGTATTTTTTATAGATAGTAGATAGACTGATTCTTAAATCTTTACTTCAATTTTTATTGTTTTAGTCTTATTCTTATACAGAAATAAAGAAATGAAAACTTCTTTACAATATTTGACATGGCTCCTAGTATTTCTGCTAAAAATCTTTAAGACGGGTTGCCTAATGAGATCTAATTACCCTTAGTGCTTCTACACACAGTTGGCTACATTTCCTTGTGTTACACTACCTAACTGGCACACTTTCTGAACTGTTTTCACACTGTTCTTTTGATCATAACACATTGCGGTGCAATCAGTTCAAGCTGAGAAAAATAAATGATCGCTAATTAACATGTGAAGTGTTGTTTTGTGAATTATTTTCTTTAATTTGTGTGAAATCCCAGATGAAACAAGAAAGATACAGTAATGATGCACAGACGGTATATGGTATACTTCAAAGAAGGTTGAAAATTCTGATATCTTAAAGAGGGACCAATTGGATAGATGCCATAGCTGTCATGCTGTGTGTGTGTGTGTTTACGAACCCCCAAAAACATCATCAAGACCTGACATTGTAATTTAATTTCAGTACCAAAGGAATATGTTGCAAAAGATGGACAACGCTGTTTCTCATTATACATTTTATAAAAAAGCTCTATTTTCTAATGACTTCTTCTAGCAATTTTTTAAAGATATTGGCCAAAAATATCCAAGAAAAACAAAACAGGAAAGCAATACATCACCCGCCTCAAAGCTATCTATATATGCGGTTCAGGAAAGCAATTTTAAGAGTATTTAGGTGCTCACGCCTCAGCCCTCAATTTCCAAGCTGGTGTGTGTTTATGTATGTCAAATAGCGGGTTCTAAAATGCTTTATAGCACCCCATGAAACAGTGACCTTTACAGAAAAAACGCCAAACTGCTCAAAACCAAGTGATATATTGTGTGTGTGCTAATTCATGAATGCACATCTACGCTCATTGCACATGATCATGCTTCACATGTGGGTGTGTGCACAAAACGTCTCCCTCATGTGTGACATGATGTACGGCCAGAAACATTCTTCCCCACCAGCCATCATTAACTCTGATGTACAGCCAAATGTTGTTATGTATGCTTGACTGCATGATTTACCGTTAGGGACATAATGGAGTGGCTACTGTAATAAACTCGCCGAGTGTTTGATGTACGGGACACTGCTGGGGGGCGGGGGAGTAAATACTATGTCTGTGATGGCAGCAATTACAGTGGTGATGATGATGATGATGAAATTTGTCTCCTCACTTACAACATGAACACTTTCTGCAGGGCGAGGACAAAAATTAGGAAGAGAAGCAGAAAGGAGCTTGAGGAAGAGGAAACAGAGGAGAAACTATTGGATGCTACTTTTGCCAACTTTGATGTTGTGACTGCGTGCCACATCTAAAGGGGAAACAATGAGGATGATGTGGCTGATAATGAATAGTGATGACACCTATGATGAAGGGATTCACACAGTATTTCATAGTGTTTTATTATTAAAGCATGTCAAAGTAGGTCAGCCCCCCCACCCCACCCCCCACTGGTTTAATTCAGTGAAGCAGACTTTGTGCATTTGATCTTAATGACAGGGTGGAAGTGAGAAGAAGAGATAAAAGTATTAGTATGTCTGCTAGAAAAGAAGAGGAAGATGAAGTCAGAGGTCAAAAGAAATAGTGGAGAAGGAGCAAGAAAATAGTGCAGAAGACTCAAAGAAAAAAGAAACACAGAATATAAAAGTCAGATTGCTAAATTATGCAGTATTGCACTGCAGTGGCTGAATGTGAACTTGTTTTCCTATAAAAAGATGCAAACTAATGCTCATTTTATTATCATATTCATCATCAGACGGCATTCCAGCCTCATTTTTGAATTGTCTTTTCTGCACTCAAAATGCACAGTTGGGCCATCCATCGTCTAAACCGCAGTCTGACTTTGCCCCCTAATGGTGCAAAGCAGTAACTACTTTCATTTCACAGAGGGTCAGCTGCTCATCATGGTAGGGACTGTTTGAGTTTAAAGAATTCAAGTACTATAAAAAATCTTTGAAAACCGTCTGTGCTCTGGTTTTTGGTGTGATATAGGATATATGAATATCTAAACATCAAGTTAAAAAATTAATGATAAAAAAAGAAAAGGAAATAGTTTTCCTCATCAGGATATGGACTTGGGTATATGTATAAGCCTATATTTCTATCCATGTATGTAAATACAGAAAGCTATTTAAATCACAGGTAAAGATTCATAAAAAATATTAATATATATATATAATATATAATTAATTGCAGATGCCCATTGAAAAGGATAATTGACAATAGGTTTTGTGGAATTACTTCTATAAAAAGTAAAATAAAAAGAATTATCACACTGTCGAAAAAACTTAAATACTAATGAGATCAACTGCTTTCACCCATCATCAGCTTTTATTGAAACCTGAAAGTGGATGATAACTCATCTTTTCTTTGTGCTCCTATGCATTTGATAGCACTTAAGGTGCAAAATCCTTTTATGACTTTCTTACACAATGTATTACATACACAACTTCCTTACCCTTTTCATAATTCTTTTCTTAGACCTCTGATTGGACCTTGACTCTACAACAAAGTCTCTGTCATATCAGGACCTCATTCTCTTGATATGTTGAGAGTCTAAAATGGTCAGTAGTGTGGCCTGTGAGCTTATTTCTGAGAAATGGCTTGAAGTAGGCATGAAACATTATTTTCGATTGAGTCCACATTTCTGTTTCAAACCTTTGTTTGATCTGATACATTATTGTAATCTTAAATGTTTTTTATTAGCTTTACACAGAAAATTATTTTAATTTATTGAAACAGAGGCTTGAAGACATCAGTCTGTTTTTAATTAATCCAAATAACATAAATAAACTTCTCTCTTCCATCAGACATCTGTAATATTGACGCAATACATCTGGTTAAATCCGAACTCCAAACACACTTTGTAAAATAAGTGTTTTTAAATGTGCGTCCAAATAAAATGTTTTATTTCTTATTTGGAACTTTTATATTGCCAATTAAGTTATTTGTTTTGAAAAACAAAAAACAAAGCCATTACAGATGTTATTATCTTAGCCAGATGTTTTTCTCTCTCGTCGTCAAATATATAATAGTACAACATAGGAGTAGCTTCAGAAAAAAGCTCTGGGATGATTAAGCCCCAATCAGGATGTCAGCTCAGAAGAGCATCCTGTTTGGAAAATAAAAGCAGTAAAAAAATAAAATAAAAAGATTCAAACTTGAAAATAATTAGGGTATTATTTTCATAACTAATAATATATAATAATAACTAAATACTTAAAAAAAATATTTTTAAGAACAGAGTAGCAGAGAAGTAGAGCGCTGTATTCTATTATCTAACCATAAAGACATTTCTGTGCAATGAGTAAAACATGAAACAAAATTGTTCAAAAATATCCATTTTATTTGTTACACAGTATAAGAAGTAATTTCAGTAATTTCACTTAAATAACTTCTTCCATTTCCAATCTGAATTATTCTGATTAAATTTGACACATTTTGAATAATTCTAATATTTCATTTTAATCCCACCTTCATCTTTATTGTTTTTTTATTACTCTTAGAATAAGAATTTAATAAACAATAGGAAAAACAAGGTCTTTAACCAAAAAGTTTCCATTATGAATCTTAAAAATGATCATAAACCCTAAATCACCTGCATGTAAAAAGAGTTATTTTTCTCCTCAAATAAACAAAAAAATCAAAACAAATTCCCATTAAGGCACTTTGAACTATAACATTTTGACCTCACTCAATAATAAGTACCTTAACTAAATTGAAGTCTTCTCATAAAGGTCTGTTTCCTCTTTGCACCCACAAAAAGGGAAGGTACCACAGCAGGGCTGAAGCCACGGTCTCCACAAAATCTTTTCCCAGCTCATTTGGTTTTGAACAGTGCTGGACTGAACATCCATGTCACCACGTACATTTCTGCTTTGGAAGGTGCTTTTATGCCTCTCTACAGCCCTGGCAGTCTGCTCAAGGACCTCAGTGTATCGAAGCTCAGTCTCAGGGGTCAGTTGTCTGGACTCAGAGGGGTCGTGAAAAAGGTCATAGAGCAGTGGTGGGTTATGGTGTGTCACATGTTCTCCATGACACATGCAAACCCCGGTGTCATAGCAGCCCCCAGCACCCGGTGGGAAGAAGTTTGGAGTGAAAAAGTGAACCTTGAAGATGGAGTTGCCTAAAGAAAAAGAAAGAGAAAATAAAAAGTTTGTTGTTCTTTCAAAATCAGACAGCTTTCTGTATGTCTTGCTGAGACTTTCGGGCTGCATTAGTATCAGCAAGCCTGCTCTAATGTTTCCTTTGAGGTCGGTGCTTTTATTTGGAAGTACAAATGACAAAATGATGGCACTTTCCAGGAAGCAGGAAAGAAAAAAAAATGACAAGTGGAAACATGTCGGAACAGACAGTTAGCCAACAACAATGTTGGAAACACATCCCGTGTGATTTTTTTCTTTTTTTCACAAGAACCAGAGAGGCCAGTCTGGCAACTGATTGAAATCTTTTTGGAAAACAGATAGCACATAAAAAATAAGTTGTTTGGTGATGATGGATTTCTGTTCTCAGAGAATAGATTTTAAAAAAAATAAATAAAGTACTTCCCCCATAATAAAAAAAGAGTTTATTCAATTCTGTAATTCTCTTTTTTCCATTTCAGATTTCAGTACATAATTATTAAGCAGAAAAAATGTGATTTAATATTTTTTAACAAATTAAAAAAAGAAAAGGTAGTTTACTTTAATTTTCCCATTTATAAAATAAAATCTAGACAGCTTCTTTGACAAATTACCAACAAACTAAATACTGTCCTTGTCTGTTTAATGAGGTATAAGATGATTAAAAAAAAAAATACATTTGTTCTACGAAGGCCTTAGAAGTTTGTTAGTCCAGATAGATCACAGAGGAAGTGTTGGAGAGGGAGGGTAAGATAAAGCAGCTATCATATATGCAAATATCTGATTTAAACTGTAAGATTGTGCTGAAACCATGGATGTGTGAACATGGTCTAGTAAAAAAGATGTTAGGGATTTTCATTTTCAGTTCAGTTCAGCACCAATTCACAACCAATGCCATCTCGAGGCAGTTTACAAAATGAAATACCTGAGTTTCAGTGAGATGTGAAGTCAGAGAAAGCAAACAGATATGCAGATCTATTTGAAAGGGAAAACATTTTCTTTGGCATCTTGATAAGAGGTGTGTACTGTACAGTTAGGCTTTGTGATATTGAACGAGAATATCCACAGTAAACAGAAAGGCTAAGGGGAATTTAGCAAAGGTGATGTTTTATCCTTATGAGTTTTTGTTCTCTGTTGTGGAAGATGCTGGATTTGGAAACACCTGAACCTTTTAGGAGAGCTTAGATTCACAGAGGAGTAAAAAGGAAGACTGCACTTACTTGAAATGCAAACTGTGATTATTAATGCACAAGACTGTTTCTAAAATATCAGCTTGGAATAACTTTTCCAGCTTTCAAATAAAAGTAAATCCCTGTTGTGGAATCACAGCTCCTTTAAACACAGTGTGATGTTTCCTCTCTTCAAAATGGAAATAATGACTTCTTGTGGCAGAAAACCTAGAAAATTCTTGTTGTAATGGGAAAATCTGAATTTGAACAAATTTGTATAAGCAGATGAAAAATTAATAAGGCTGAAAATAAAAATTAGACACAAAGGTTAAACCAGTAAACCTTATATATTTTAACATATATACTGACTTAGACTCAGCTGTATTTATCCCTTTGGATTACTCCTTCAGGGAAATTCTGGTTCCAGTAGCTTATATAGAGCACAAAGTGCAGAGTTAAAGCAAGATGCCATTAAAGATAAAAATATGACAGACAATAGAAATAGAGTGTATATAGTAGAAAAAAGCATAAAAAAGAAAAAAGTTGTAATGTCCTAAAATATGTTTCCATTAGATGTAAAAAAAAAAAAAAAATCTGCACATTAGAGAGCTAAGGGAAGACTACACATTGGTTGACTTGGATTATTGCACTTGTATTACAGAGATGTACTGACTTTATAAATAAGTTAAAAAAATATACAGGGAGAGAGAGAGAAGAATATTGCACGAGTGGCAATAGGTACTGTTTTGCATAAAATGTCAAAGGAGGGGGGTGCTGACCCTTGTCCCTCTTTCTATCACCTCCTTCTTCCCCCAAGTGAGGAGTTGTACATCTTGATGGGCAAAGGAGTTCAGTACTGTTCAGTATCTTGGCTTTAATCTTAAAATATTGATATTCTTCTATATTTTTATAATCTAGCTGTCTTTGCAGTTGGTCACTGCAGTTGGTGAAAGAACACATAGAATTTAACCAGGAAAAGATGTTTCATATAAACTAATATAAGTTTGCTTCAAGAAAATATTTCCCACTTAAAGCTGAAAACAAAGATCCAAGGAAAAGCCAGAAAAAAATAAATTTCTCATGTGTGAACTTACTATTAGGCGGGTGCCAGCGTACTGCATTCAGGTTTATGCCGCAGTAGTGAAACATGAATTCATGCTCTGATCGTGCTGCTTTTCCCTCCAGCAGAGGCATGAGGTTATAGCCATCTAAATGTCTGAAAAAACAGTCAGCGTAAGAGAAGCGAGGACAACGAGAAATGGAAATGGAACCACCTAGACTGGATGTGAAGATTCAGTCATGAAGATCTTGATGATGTCCCAATATAGAACGTTTGTGCAGATTTTTTTATGTAAAATAATTTGTCCAGCAATTTGTATTGTTTTTTTAGCCATGCAAATACAACATTTTACAGAAATAGTCTGTACCTGTCTGGTTGGGTGTCCTTGGCTAAGTATTTCAGAGTGGGGTAGAGATCCATGAGGCTAGTCGGCTCATCCACTACTCTTCCTGCTGCCAGTCTACCAGGCCAGCGGAAAATTCCAGGAACCCTGATCCCCCCTTCCCAGCCTGCCATTGCCTTCCCACCTGGAGATGAGACGATAGAAAAAAGTTACAGCAATATTTCAGACAGTCTCATCAATCAACAACGACTTGATGTATGGCTGACCTTTATAAATACTGTTCCAGCCTCCTTTCTGGCCGAAGAGAGAATGTGCATCTTCTAAATGGCCACCATGGTCTGATGTGAAATGCAGGAGGGTGTTGTTTGCAAGGCCGAGTGAATCCACTGTTTCTGTTATTTTACCTACAAATAGAATAAATTAGTGCAATCCAACTATCCAAAACAAAACGGCAAAGAATAATATTTCATTTTTCCTTTTTTCAAACTGCAACAATTTCAATATACTTAGATGTCAAATGGTTTGTCGGTTTGTAAAAAGTTTATGAAATAATAAAAAATAATAATTGTCCTGGGTTCAGAGCTCTAATGCACTTTTTGCCATATTGGGCTTACGCCTCTATAGACTTACCAACGATCCAGTCCACTTCCTCTAGGTTGTCACCATAGCGGCCATGGCGACTCTTTCCAGCAAAGGCAGGCGTTGTGAAAAGAGGTGTATGGATGTGAGCTAAAGAGAAGAAGAGCAGGAACGGACGATCAGCATTCCTAAAGGAGAGGAAATGAGTCAGAGGTTTTTTCAGTTCTAAACATTCCTTTAACATAATCATACTTCAAATTATGGATAAATCATTCAACATCAACGGTTAACAACAATAAGCTAAGCCTAATAACAGGTGATGTGCAGTTTGATTTTTGTTTTTCTGCCTTATTTAACTAAACTTAGACTCTGATAAACAACAAAGATGGACAGAAAAAATACCCATAAAGATAAGAAAAGAAAAAGAAGTTCCAACTGCACCAAGTTCTCATTTTAGCTTAAATAAATATACATTTTGGTAGGCCTACTAACTTTCTTTGGTTCCTTAAATCCTATTATTGTTTCTGTTCCACAGAAAGGGACAACTGTGTGGGTATGCAACCACCTTGCTACTCTGGATACTGGAACTCAAATGGATCCAATTTGGCTTTGCTAATAAAAATAGTTACTTAAACATAACATCAACATTCTTTTTCTGGTGTAATTTGAATCCATAAAATTAATCGTTTTAAAAAATATAAAGGTGAAAAGATTTGAACACACAGTAGATTTTAACACACACAATTGACCCCCTGAAAATAATAAATTATGAAAACCACAGCTACTGATATGTAAGATTTAGATATGTAAAACACTTTTAAAAAATCAATAATTTATTGCAAAAGAAGGATATATCTTTTAAATTGGTTAAAGGATAAAAAGGGGGTAAAAAATTGACTCATTATTCCATCATTCTTGTTTCGCTGGGATGTAAATGTGGCAAGACAGTTTTCTTTAAGCCACACATGAGTGAAAAAGATAAAAGACAATTTCACTCAATAAAGGCATGTGCATGGTGACCTTCATGGGACTGTATGTAAAAAAAAGAAAACTACTGAAAATTAAAACATATCATCCATCCATCCATCCTTTAAAGACTTTTTATATTAATAGGATAATATAACTGTGAAGGACGCTTTATCTCCTATTAGGGGCAAGCTAGAACTTTATTAATAAGGAATGATTTTTTTCTACTCAGTAAATATTTCTAATTTTACACTTAATATTTTGTCATATATTTCAGAGGAACCTGTTGATAACCATTTCAGGTTTTTTTCTAGCTAAACTGTAAAGATTTACCATCTTTTCTTATTTCTTTTTTTTAGTTGGTTTTCACTAGTTTTTTGCTAAAAGCACACATATTTTAGAATAGAATTTAGGCATCAAAGCAATGAAATGAACTCTGCATTTAACCCATCCCCGTGCGGAGCAGTGGGTTGCCTTTGTACCGTGTTAAAGGTCTTGCTCAGGGACCCAGAGTGGCAGTCTGTGGGAGTGGGGCTTGAACTCGGAACCTCTGGATTCCAAGCGCAATGCCCTAACCTCTAAGCCGCCACACCCTCCTTTCTCCTTACAGAGAGAAACTTACTAACAAACAATAAAAAGTTGATATTGAAGGTTTACATGTCTTAGAAAGTTTAGCCAACTAAATATTAAATTATGGAAAAATTTAATTAGGGAGAAATGTAAATTATCTGTGAGAGTTCTGAGAGTTTTTGTAACAAAACCTTAAAAAAAACAAAAAAGAGCAGTTCATGGCTTCGCTCCAACATCCTTACCTCTTTATAAAATCTTGTGCTTCTGCCAGCAGTCTCTGGGGTACTGTCTCAACTGTCATAGGCTGTTCTATTACATCTTGGTTCCTCATTATGATGCAGTTCCAGGTTCGAAGGAGCCCAAATGGGACATACCACACAGCAGCTGCTACTATACCGAGGATGAGAAGCAGCAGCAGGAGCCAAAGGCTAACTTCAAGGATCCCACATAGACGGACACACACCTGAAAACCCACATGGGTCAAACACACACAGATGGATCGACCCTTTTACATCAGGTTCTATGTAACATATTGATTTCAGGTGTAATGAGGTATTTTGACACATTAGGGTTACAGAGTTAGGATTTTTGATTTTCATGAAACTCCAGTCTTCAAATATCTCTGATCTTTATCCCTGCTCCACCACACTTCAGTCAAAAGGATGCATTACTGCCTAGATATATGGGCTTGTTTTGCAAAGGCCTGGTGATAAGTCATTTACTTGATTCAAATGTTGTGGAGCATAAATGCATCCAATGTTGGCAGAACATAAGCACTGAACGACTAAATGTGCAGACCCTGACTAGATAAAGGAAAACAAACTGAACCTGTTTTTCTTTTTTGTTTTTTTTTTTAGAAAGTACAGCATATAGCCGTCATTCCCCAAGGTTTCTTTATACATACTTTCTAGAAACGTCTAAGTTAAACATTTTTTCAAGTGCATTTCTCTTGCTCCACCTGTGGCACAGCTGGTTTCTATTCATCCCACAGGCAACTTTCCTTGCCAATTCTTTTCTGAATTTCAGTTTCAACTTTAGGTTTTTCCTTCAGGCAGGTTTCTGGCTGTTGTGACTGAGTTTCACAACTAAAGATCCTGTTTTCAATCTGCTTCTTGAACCCCTTTGCACTTGTGTGAGCAATCACAAATTAGTTGCTATGCTTCTGAGTTAAAAACACAACTGTTATTTATTTATTTTTTTGTGTGTTTATTTTTTGACTGTGCTGCTGTTGTCTAGCAACAAAACATATCCATCTTTTATATAACTCTGTGGAGAAAAAGAAGAAAACTTACAAAAATTACACTCACCAGCGTAAAAAGTCCTATTCCTAGCAACAAGGTGAGATGTTGGAGTGTAAGTTGAAGATCATTCAAAACATCACTGCCCTCGCCAGGAACACAGTCATTAAAAAGGGTGAATGGCAGACCATAGAAATAGCTGAAACCATGGTGATTAGGGTGGTGACAGTGATCACCTCTAGATTCACAGTTCACACCCAAGTGCCATTTACCTGCAGACACACAAAGAAAAAATAAATAGAATTATGCTAAATTAAAGACAGGGCAGGGTGAAGAGATCCCATCATCAGATAACATTTCACAACTATCATCTTAGACAGTTTTGTCTGGTTTACTACTGAGAAGTAAAGCAGATCTTATATTGGGAAGTTCCTTAGAATTGAATCTGTCACCACGCAGCATCATAAAACCAATAAAATTGAAGGAGACACATAATAAACATTTATGCCCGAATTCACGATGCCACTTGAATATTGCAGGGAAAACACCATCTGCTAGAAGCTGGTTATGATTTTGATGCAGGGTAAGAAAAAGAGTAAACAACAAACTTCCATCCTGCTGGCAAATAAGAAAATGGGAACCAGACGGTAGAACTGATCCTTTCTTTTAGTGTGATGTGTATTAAATTCATTGTTATACAGCATATAGTGTTTTATGTAATTGGTCAATTAAATACAAATGTTAAAATTCCAGATTAAGGTCCTCTAAAGAAGATTTCTGAATTTTTTTTGTTGTTGTTGTTTTAGATAGAATAGAATTGATGAGGCCTTCGATGTTCTGTAAAAATTTATCTAATGTGGTCTTGTTTGTTAGACAAGAGGGTGTGTATGTATCTCCTTGAATTTGGTGCCGTCGCCTTGATCCACTGCACATATTGAGTAAATAGCAGTGGCAAAGCAGCTGCAAAGAACCGAGAGGACCACAGAGAATTGCAACTCTCCATTCAATCCTGTATAAAAGGTAAGATCAGCAAAATCTGATCACATCTTACCTATTAGGCCTGTGGTGTATCCCTGCTGCTGCAGCCTCTTTGCAAAGGTTGTCTCATTAGGTGGAAGTCCCCCTGAACCTCCGAGAAACAGCAGCACCTGGACACGGCCAGTGCTGGCCATCCCTTGTCAACACATCAACAAAATAAATGAAACATAAGGAAATCATTAAAAAGTGATTGAACTATAGCTGTAGTAGAATTATCAATGTATTAGCACGGGAATGTTTGGCTTAGAGTGAATTAGCGTTAGGACATAACTACCTGAGCGAAGTGGGTAACGGCCTGTCATGAAAGCAGTCCGGCTTGGAGTGCAGAGAGGAGCTGCAGCAATGTACTGGGTCAGCTTCACTCCCTCTGAAGCCAGTCTGTCTATATTGGGAGTTCTATAGGAAGATTAAGAATACGTGTATAAAAAAATGATATAACTACTCATTAAAATGACTATAAGTACAGCAGTAGGACAGGAATTATATAAATTAATACAAAACATTAGCTTGGATTATATTAATAGTACGCTTACCATGAAATATTATGGGAATATTAGATATATATATTAAATTTTAAATATTTATATTTATTATATAATAAATAGTAAATTATTATGCTGATGATATGAAACGTTGTTGGCAGACCAGAGGTAATTACACAGCAAACCCAATAGTCACTTGTACCCTTGGTTATGACATGTAAACAAAAAATGCTTTTTTTATGTGGCTGGATACAAAGTGAACAGCTATTTTTGTCCAATCAACAAAATTTTTTACTGAAAAATATGTAGGCAAAATATTTTCTTTCAAGTTGTCTTACATCAGTCTATCTCTGCATATTGACAATGCTGTAATAAACCAGCCTCCTTGTTCTTCCTCATTTTTCTTGTGTTTTTTCCCCCCCGATTAATTTTTATGTTGCAACTGTTGACACGACATATAACCCTTTCTTCCCCATTTTGATGAAAAGGTTTCTTTTATCACACTTTTAGCTGTCACCCCCACTGAACAAATGGGAAAGCTCTGATGTTCAAGCCTCACTAGATTATTCAATTCAATTCGGTTTATTTATAAAGCGCCAATTCACAACATGTCATCTCAAGGAACTTTACAGTTCACCAGATCATACAGTCAAATTGATTCAAAGTTTTCTATCTAAGGAAAACCAGTTGATTGCATCGACTCATTTACTCAAATGCAATCCCTCACACTAAGCATGCTTGGAGCGACAGTGGAGAGGAATAACTCCCTTTTAACAGGAAGAAACCTCCAGCAGAACCATTACTTTAATGATATTGTTTCTCATCTTTCCCATTTTAAGGGCAGTTATGTCGAATACATTCTGATCGGATTATATAAGTAGACAACAGCCTATATTTAAAACAGCTTTAGCAAAAAATTGTTTAAAGGGATTTTTATGAATGTTGAAATCTACCAAAAATATCTCTTAAAGCTACAGTGTGTAACCTTTAGCGACATCTAGCGGTCAGACTGCAGCAACATGAACATCTCCCCGCCACCGCTTCTCCCCCCCAACAGTACGGCGAGCGTTACGGGACAAAATGTCTTCCACGACGTCCGCATCACCTACCTTCTCAAGTGATGAGGTTTGTTTACATAGATAATTTTACAGATAGTATTTCATTAGTCTGTGTAGGGTATAGATTTCATGTAGACTTAATATAATAAATATACCCGTTATTTTTTCTACATCGTTGTGATGTTTTGGCGATCTCGCAATCGCTAGTTTGTTGCCTCTGCGCTGCCGTAGCGCAAAGATGTCTGCCTCCATGGCTGCGAGACCCGCTCCTATGTAATTATAAATAACGAATTCTAAGGCAACGCAAATATTAAGGTTAAGAGGCTGAGCTCGTAGATGATGATAAATAACATAGTTATGTATAATATATTACATTTCTGACTGTATATCCCAGTAATTATTACACACTGTAGCTTTAACATTAATAAATATGTACACAAAAATAAAAGGTTATATGCTTTCGCAATGAATTATAAATAGATTTAAAAGCTTTTTTCCAAATCATTACTATTGGTGCCAAAAATGTAGGCTAGAGGATTCAATGCAGTAGTTACCTGATGGTGTCGTTGCCATAGCAACCTATATCCCCTATCCCAAGGTCGTCCACCATAATGATTACAAAGTTGGGATTCTTGTCTCCCGTATCCCCTGTGACGTCATTTCCTGCTGCCAGGAGCAAGAAAAGGGGAAAAGTCGCCAGCATGGCCGACCTAAGCAAACAAATGACACACTTTTTTTTTCTTTACCGTCTTTATACATATAACATGGACAGCTTAGGCATGAGAAAAAAATTTCCTTTGTCGTTATTATTGTTTTTGTTTTCAAAGAACACTACATTTATATTCCAACAGTGTAGCTGTTTTGCAGGTTTTAATATCCTGCTGATCTCTCCATACTGCATGATTGAGGAATCACAAAACGTTAGGTGAAGTTGTGCACTTATGTAAATCACAAACTGAACTTCTCCTGGGTAAAAAAAAAAAAAAAATGCAGTTAACTCTTGCAGAATCAACCCAGGGAAGCTTCTTAAGAGAAAAAAAACTACCACATTGCTGCGTAAAGTTGCAACTCGTGAACTAAATGATTGTCCTCTGATAAGCGGTAGTGTTAAATGTATACTATTGCATGAAATGATAAGTAAAGACCATTTAAACTCACCTCATTAAATCTACACTACGACCTAAACTGTTCCTGCTTTACTCTGGTCCCGCCTCCAGGACGTTACCGTAATACCTGTTTTAGCCACTTCAAACGCACAAAGAATCCGAGCTACCCTAAAACATATAGTAAACACGCCAGAGACTTAAATAAAGTTACATACACGCAAACAGAGCGACACCGCATTAGGATGTCGCCAATTATCATTGAAAAAGATGAGGTTAAAATAATCAAATTTATAACTTGTAAGGATATGATTTTAATAAAGGGACTGGTCTGGAACGTGATCTTGAAAAGTTTAAATGACATGGAAAGAATGATTATCGCGGTCAACTTTTAATTTCTATAACACTTTTCATGTATGGTACCAGACCAACATTACGCCATATACAGAAGACTAACAAAGGGCTACGTTAAACAATAAAACTTGTGTCACAACTAACTTAAAAATAAATAAGTAAAATAAGAGCAGTAAAAAAAGGGAAAAAAAAAGAAAAAAAAAGTAAAATCTACATTCAGGCCTAATTGAAACAATTCAGTTAGAATCTAAATATCCTCAGGTTTAAAATGGGTTACTGCATCTAATATTTGCTTCCTGCGGTCTCTGACCCAGGGGATATGATGTCAGCAGCTCTAACATGGGCAGATGGTCTCTGCCAAGTTGTTCCTCAGGGAACAACAATAGATTAATGACTTTCTTCTAATAGAAAATGAAAATAGATCATAATTTTTGTCTCTATAAATGATCAGAATAGTATAACATTTGTGGATGATAACAAGTCAGCATCATCTGCACAGTATGTAATAATTAATGATCTAAAGGCTGTTTTTAAAACCATCAACTTCGAATAAAAACAGTACAAATTAAACTGATCAAATGCAACTTGGACCAAACAGTTAGGGTCTCTGTGCCAGCAGCATATATCATTATAACATACTGTTTTATTAATATGTCTTCAGTACAGGGGCCAGGACAAGTTCTATGGGAGGATTGGCCCCTGTTTGCCCCAAGTGCCAGCGCACTGCATTGTGCTTAGGGTACCAAGTGACCAAGAAAATCAGAATGAAGAAAGAAAATCCTCATTCTAGTAACAATAAGAACAACATATTTAACATAAAAATGTAAGATATATAAGTTATAAGATAAACAGTACAAAACCAAAAATATCTAACAAAAATACGAAAAGTCTGCCTCCTTTTTACCTCTCCTACTTGGGGAACTCCTGCTATCTGCACCATCCTAACGGCTGCTCTGTCTGGGAGGCACCCATATACTAAAGCAACAACAAGCTTTTTTAAATAAATGAAAAAAGAACTAAACCTATGTTCTGCCTATTGCATCTGTTCTAGAAGATGTATTCTGAACAGCTGTGTAACACTCTGTCAATTTAAATTAATATGTAGAAGTTCTGCAGAATTTAGGGATGTTTAGTTTTGACAAGGCCAGGAGGAAACTTCTTCAGGAGGACAGAACTTGTCATGATCATATAAATCAGTTTGTCAGTTTCTGTAAAGTCAAATCTTTTCTGAATCAAACTAAAGAAAAATGTGAAAATAACAAAAAAAAAATTAAAAATGATTCTAGCAGTAGAATGAGTCATAGTAAATGGTTTGTTTTACTTTACTTGAGCCATTTTGGTGCCATCTAGATAGAGTGTTTACCTTAGCAGTTTATTATACAATTAAGATAAGTTAGTATTAGTTAAGTATGATACTAATACTAGTTTTAGTATTATACTAGTTATAGCATTGTAGTATAAAATAAGTTAGTACGATTATTAGATTTTAATTATAATGGCATACTGCAAACAGAGAATATTATCAACTAGAATATTATCAATGAATAAAGATTGAAACCTGAATTTTAATCAAGAAAGTTCTGGCTTCCACAATCAGCTATCATTGATGTTTGGGTCTTATTGTTATGAAACCTGACCACATAGGTGTGTATCTCAGCAAATCAGGAGAAAGAAGAGAGCAAGAACAATATGTGGTCAATATGGGAGCACTGGTAGCCAAGGTAACAGCAGCACTGAAATGATTGTGAAGCTGGAGTAAGTATTTTACTTTAAAACTTGTTACATACACCCACTCTTAGCAGTGCTTGTTTTATGGGCCAACGCATCACAGTGCTTAACTAGCCAAGGAACTTGCCAAACCTTAAGTGATCTCAAAAGAAAAAAAATTGGCAACTAAGTAGAAGTATAGATACTGCAGTTTAAAAACACTGGTAAAAGTTGAAGTACCAACTTCACCTCTTTACTCAAATAAAAGTCAAAAAGTATGTGCTCCAAAAACTACTTAAAGTATAAAAGTATAAAGTAACCTTTAAAAAAAATCAGCCAGATGCCACTTTATGAATTGAAAGCTAAATCTTTCGACTATTTTGAAAAATTCTTTGAGATAGGGCCA